AGACTTAGAAAAGAATTAATTATAATTCTCTCAATGCAATCTCACTCTAACTGGCTTAGAAAAAGAAATTACAATCTTCTTGTATCGGATTCCCAATTTACAAAAGAGAGAAGGATCAATGGAGACTCTTCCCTTTGTTTAAAACTGGGCTCTTCTTGGTGTTAATGAAATGCCTCCCTCGAATGCTTGCGTCGAGTTTGTTTTCCGTTAACGATCCAAACGTTTCACCTCGTGGAACACGGTTCCTTGCTCTTGATTGATGTTGAGGAGAACTTGTATGGTAAGTTTAAAAAGAACTCTTCATGAGTTTTAGAACTCAGAGCGAGTTTAAACTCTGTAAAAGAGTTGATTTGAACCGAAAATCAGTTTTAGCCAAGATCTAAGCTCTAAGACTTTTGTTGATGAAGGACGCTCTAATACCTCCAAGACCCGAAAATGCTCCAAGAGATAATTGTCGATCTCAATTCTCCCAAAATTCCCCTCCAAAGAATCAGTTTTTAATTAAGCTGAAATTTCAACTATTTATAGAAGATTAAGGGTGTAACCGTCTCTTTAATTTGCTCCTTAATGAGGGTTTATGTGGTGTAACCGCCCCTTTAAATCTCTCCTTAATAAGGGTTTATGGGGTGTAACCATCCCTCATTAAGTGGAAAAATAGTTTTGAACCCGTTCATGTTCTGTTTGAACTAATCAAATACGCAATTCGCATTCTGGCACAAACTCTGCATTCTGAGATTGGAACGCAGAGTTGAGCTCCACACTGGCGGCTAGAACACATAGCAATGTGCTCTGCATTTTGAGTCTGGAATGTAGTCACAAAGTCTGCATTTTGAGTCTAGAACACAGCCACGAGCTCTGTGTTTTGTGTTTGGAATGTAGCCACGAACTCTGTGTTTTGAGTCTGGAACGTAGCCACAAACTCTGCGTTTTGAGTCTGGAACGTAGCCACGAACTCTGCGTTTTGAGTTCGGAACGTAGCGATGAGCTCTGCATTTTGAGTCTGGAATGCAGCGATGAGCTTTGCGTTTTGTTGTTGGAATGCAGAGTTGAACTCTGCGTCTTGACTCTGCAACGTAGAGGCGAGCCTCAGGTGAGCTTTAGACAAGCTTCAGGTGAATTCCAATGTTCAGGTGAAGTCCAGTCTTACGGACGGACTTCAGAACATAACTTACGGTGAAGAATATGTCATAACTTTCAAACCGTAAGTCGTAATTAGACGAATTATATATAAAAATTGACTATCTCGACGAGACAGAGCTAACCAATCCAACCCAAAGGGTTTGGTTTGCTCCCATCCATTTAGCCAAATTCCTTACTGTTTGAGAGATATCTACGTTTTGATTTGAAAAGACCATCAATTTGTAGTCTTTTTTGCTAGAACGTTGCAAAGATCGTCATCTTATAACCTTCGTCTTGGCTCCTTGAAAAAATAACAGTCATCAGATTATATCTCCCGATGTTGATGTTTGACCCTAGAGGGGGGGTGATTAGGGTCTTATACTAATCTAATCCGATTTTATGCTAATTAAAACTAATTAACAAGTTATCCTAGCAAGTATGAAATACAACAAGATATATGAGCTAGGATAAACAATATGAACAATGAGATATATCCTATATGATAAAAATATATGCAAGGATATATAAACTAACACAAGGGTGATATAATCAAACTATAAATGTGATAGGGTAAAATATACAAGAGTAATAGGCAATTGGCGATATAAGATAAATGCATAAGCAAATGCGCCAATGACAAACTCAAACACACTCAAATGATTACGGAGTTCAGACCTTCCGTCCTACGTCTCCGTTCCCACTCCCGGGGAGAAATCCACTATCACAATCTGGTTTGAAAGCCGGAACTTCTACACACTCGGTTTTCTAGCTAACCGAAAACTCTACAACTCACACTCTTGCAAACCCACTCTATACCCTCATAAGTGTTGGACCTAGCCGTGTCTCCCTCAAGTGCTCGGTTACAGCCTCTCCCTAGGTTTGTCAACTGACACCACTCCTCTTGGGATGATCCCCGACTCTCACCACACACTCCTCTTGGTGTACAAGTGTATTACAAAGTGTATCTCACAATAAGCACAAATACAACAAATGATTGTTCTCTAATATGGATGAGAACACAATGAAAGCTCACACTTAATTGTTACAACTCTCACCAACCCAAATATACTATGTATAAAAATACAATAAGCTCATGTGGGGGTGTGTAAACAATGAGTGAAATAAAATCTAACTCAAATAGCAAACTAACAATAATAAGAATATGAAAATCAATAATAAAATTGCTAGAGAAAGGAGTTAGAAAACTTCTCTATAAACACAAAGAGAGGATGAGAAGATATTAGAGAAAGGAGTTAGAAAACTTCTCTATAAACACAAAGAGAGGATGAGAAGATATTGAAGATGAACTCCTTAACAGATGATGCCGCTCCTCTTTGTAAAAGCAAACCCAAAAAAAATTTAAACTAAACAAACTGTAAAACCCTCTTAAACTTGTTTAAAACTTTCTCATTGGTTACTGATAGAAGAGGGGTTGATGGGTTTATATAGGAAGAGAAACCAACAGCCAAAACCCCAAAAAAAATAACAAAAATCCTAGAAAATCAGGAATACGAATCTGTACAAAAAGAGCCATTGGGGTGAACGGCGGTTGACCGTGGAAAACTCGCGGTCGACCGCGAGCAAGCTTTGAAACTCAGAAAACTTCTAGAGACTTACGCGGTCGACCGTGGCGGTCTACCGTGAGAATTTTTGAGCTGATGGTCGATCGTGGCAGTCGACCATGAAAGTTTCTGCTGCCCACTCAGGAAAAGACTCAGGCGCGGTCGACCGTGACGGTCGACCGCAAACTGATATATGAAAAAATCAGGTTTGAAAACAGTTTGCTGATTTTAAAACACTGTTTAAAAATATCAAATAAATTCAGAAAAATGTAAAACTTTAGAAAATGATTGTAAACATGATAATACACATGCTACAAAAACTAGTTTACAAAAAGAACTTCCCAAATGAAAAATATCATTATTTTACAAAATAGTCCAAAACATAAAAATACGAACACATGAATTTTGACATTTTGCCTAAACTATATTTTGAAACTTTACAAAATGAGATTTTATAGACTTAAAGAAAGATGTAAACTATTGTTATGAAGTCTATAAACAATGAATGTAGTATTTTATCAAAATACACATATAATGCACTAAAACATGATTTCATTAAACTAAATAAAATTGATATTGATGAAATCATATATATGCATATAAGTAAATTGTTTCATATTAAAACTTGAAAACTATCAAACCAAAACATATATGTATATATATAACTATATATATATGAAACCAAAGCGTGTATGTGTGTATATGATTGAGCTTAAAGTACTAACACACATAATATAAAACCTAAAACTAAATTTACCCAACCTTGTGATCTTCAACGAAGCTCTATCTTGGTACACTTGAGGATGAAGCTTGAACTTGGATCTTCAACTTGAATTGCATTGCTTCACTCCACTATTCCGCCAACCTCTATTGGATATGATCGTGAAAGCTTTATTCCATCCATCCTCCAACTTGTTGTTTGCCTAGAATAAATATGAAAACACAAACACTAGACAAACAACATTAGAAGTAAATTGTTTGTTAAACATCATCAAAACAAGAAGGCCAACAGTTGATTGTGAAGGTTATTGAATTAGAGCTTTCATCGGTTGTTGTGAAGGTCGTCAGATTGTAACCTTCATCGATCTACGAGAAAATTTTTAAATTATAGCATTCTGGAAGCTGTCAAATTATAACTTCCGTCATTGGTGTTTGATGAGAATCAACTATCTGTAGTAATTTTTAGACAGCCTATAATTTTTATCCAAACCATTATAAAATCTTATGTGTTTCTGGTTGGCTATTATTTATGATTAGTTGTCATTGAGCGCTTTTATTTTATCTTTTTCGCTGCATATTCTATATTTTTCAAGGAAAAACGGTGCCAACCCTATTCACCACATTTCTAGACTTGCATCTTAGATCAAACAAAAAATCACATTAATTTTTATCTAAATTGCAACTTACCGCCTTATTTTTTAATGTGAACAACCTTAGTTTACTCACATGTTCTCAATGTTACACTTTTTAATATTTTTTGTTAAAAAATTAAAGTTCCTACTATACCCCCAACCTAATTCAAGCGAAAGACGAAGAGGAGTAGGAGAGGAAGGGGAGAGAGGAAGAGAGATTAGTGGTTATGGAGTCGGTGGCCGGAGAGGAGGGAGGAGTTCAGCGGCGAGAGTAGAAAGAGGAGGGGTTGGAAGCTGAGGAAGATGAGGAGAAGGAAAGGAGGGAGGTGAGGGGGAGTGAGAACTGAGGAGGAGGTGAGTGAGGTGGAGGGGGAGGAGAGGAAGAAATGAGCTAAGATTTGGAGAAACTGTAGAGATGGAGGAGATGATGGAAGGAGTGGAGGAGGAG